AAATTATCCATTTCTTCTAGATTTTCCAGTTTATTTGCGTAGAGGTATTTATAGTATTCTCTGATGGTAGTTTGTATTTCTGTGGGGTCGGTGGTGATATCCCCTTTATCATTTTTAATTGCGTCGATTTGATTCTTCTCTCTTTTCTTCTTTATTAGTCTTGCTAGTGGTCTGTCAATTTTGTTGATCTTTTCAAAAAGCCAACTCCTGGATTCATTGATTTTTTGGAGGGTTTTGTGTCTCTATCTCCTTCAGTTCTGCTCTGATCTTAGTTATTTCTTGCCTTCTGTAGCTTTCGAATGTGTTTGCTCTTGCTTCTCTAGTTCTTTTAATTGCGATGTTAGAGTGTCAATTTTAGATCTTTCCTGCTTTCTCTTGTGGGCATTTAGTGCTATAAATTTCCCCTCTACACATAGCTAAATGTGTCCCAGAGATTCTGGTATGTTGTATCTTTGTTCTCATTGGTTTCAAAGAACATCTTTATTTCTGCCTTCATTTCGTTATGTACCCAGTAGTCATTCCAGGAGCAGGTTGTTCAGTTTCCATGTAGTTGAGCGGTTTTGATTGAGTTTCTTAGTCCTGAGTTCTAATTTGATTGCACTGTAGTCTGAGAGACAGTTTGTTATAATTTCTGTTCTTGTACATTTGCTGAGGAGTGCTTTACTTCCAATTACGTGGTCAATTTTGGAGTAAGTACGATGTGGTGCTGAGAAGAATGTATATTCTGTTGATTTGGGAGTGGAGAGTTCTATAGATGTCTATTAGGTCTGCTTGCTGCAGAGATGAGTTCAATTCCTGGATATCATACATTGTGCTTTCTGTCTCATTGATCTGTCTAATGTTGACAGTGGGTGTTGAGTCTCCATTATTGTTGTATGGAGTCTAAGTCTCTCTGTAAGTCTCTAAGGACTTGCTTTATGAATCTGGGTGCTCCTGTATTGAGTGCATATATATTTAGGATAGTTAGCTCTTCCTGTTGAATTGATCCCTTTACCATTATGTAATGGCCTTCTTTGTCTCTTTTGATCTTTGATGGTTTTAAAGTCTGTTTTATCAGAGACTAGTATTGCAACCCCGCTTTTTTGTGTTCTCCATTTGCTTGGTAAATCTTCCTCCATCCCTTCATTTTGAGCCTATGTATGTCTCTGCGTGATGTGAGATGGAGTCTCCTGAATACAGCAGACTGATGAGTCTTGACTCTTTATCCAGTTTGCCAGTCTGTGTCTTTTAATTGGAGCATTTAGTCCATTTACATTTTAAAGTTAAGATTGTTATGTGTGAACTTGATCCTGCCATTATGATAGTAACTGGTTATTTTGCTCGTTAGTTGATGCAGTTTCTTCCTAGCCTTGATGGTCTTTACATTTGGCATGTTTTTGCAATGGCTGGTACCGGTTGTTCCTTTCCATGTTTGGTGCTTCCTTCAGGATCTCTTGTAAGGCAGGCCTAGTGGTGACAAAATCTCTAAGCATTTATCTGTAAGTTTTATTTCTCCTTCACTTATGAAACTTAGTTTGGCTGGATATAAAATTCTGGGTTTAAAATTCTTTTCTTTAAGAATGTTGAATATTGGCCCCACTCTCTTCTGGCTTGAAGAGTTTCTGCCGGGGAATCTGCTGTTAGTCTGATGGGGCTTCCCTTTGTAGGTAACCCAGCCTTTCTCTCTAAACGCCCTTAAGATTTTCTCCTTCATTTCAACTTTGGTGAATCTGGCAATTATGTGTCTTGGAGTTGCTCTTCTCGAGGAGTATCTTTGTGGCGTTCTCTGTATTTCCTGGATTTGAATGTTGGCCTGCCCTGCTAGGTTGGGGAAGTTCTCCTGGATGATATCCTGAAGAGTGTTTTCCAACTTGGTTCCATTCTCCCCCTCACTTTCAGGCACCCCAATCAGACGTAGATTTGGTCTTTTTACATAATCCATACTTCTTGCAGGCTTTGTTCATTTCTTTTTCTTCTTTTTTCTTTTGGTTTCTCTTCTCGCTTCATTTCATTCATTTGATCCTCCATCGCTGACATTCTTTCTTCCAGTTGGTCGAGACGGTTACTGAAGCTTGTGTGCATTTATCCGTATTTCGTCACCATGGTTTTCGTCTCTTTCATTTCCTTTGTGAGCTTCTCTGCATTAATTACTCTAGCCATCAATTCTTCCACTTTTTTTTCAAGATTTTGGTTTCTGGCTGGAGTACGTAATTCCTCTTTTAGCTCTGATAAATTTGATGGACTGAAGCCTTCTTCTCTCATCTCGTTGAAGTCATTCTCCGTCCAGCTTTGATCCGTTGCTGGTGATGAGCTGCGCTCCTTTGCTGGGGGAGATGTGCTCTTATTTTTTGAATTTCCAGCTTTTCTGCCCTGCTTTTTCCCCATCTTTGTGGTTTATCTGCCTCTGGTCTTTGATGATGGTGATGTACTGATGGGAGGTTTTGGTGTAAATTATCCTTCCTGTTTGATAGCTTTCCTTCTAACAGTCAGGATCCTCAGCTGTGAGTTGTAACAACAGGAGATTGCTTGAGGTCGCTCCGAACCCTGTTTGCCTGGGCCATCAGCAGCAGAGCTGCAGAAGATGAAATATTTCTGAACAGCGAGTGTACCTGTCTGATTGGCAGCACAGAGATCTTCCTCTCAGGGTGTACTGCCTGTGAGGTGTGGGGTATCAAGACTGCCCCTAGTGGAGGATGTCTCCCAGTTAGGCTACTCAGGGGTCAGGGACCCACTTGAGCAGAAGTCTGTCCTTCTCGAATCTCAACCTCTCCGTGTTGGGGAGATCCCTGCTCTCTTCTGCAAAGCTGTCAGACAGTCGTTTTGCGTCTGCAGAGCTGCTGCGTTTGTTATTATTTACTGTGCCCTGTCCCCAGAGGTGGAGTCTACAGAGACAGGCAGGTTTCCTTAAGCTGCTGTGAGCTCCACCCAGTTCGAGCTTCCCAGCAGCTTTGTTTACCTACTTAGGCTGGGCAAGTAAGGCGGGCGCCCCTCCCCCAGCCTCGCTGCTGCCTTGAGGTCCACTCCAGACCCTGTTTGCCTGGGTATCAGCAGCAGAGGCTGCAGAAGATAGAATATTTCTGAACAGCGAGTGTACCTGTCTGATTCTTGCTTTGGAATCTTCCTCTCAGGGGTGTACTCCACCCTGTGAGGTGTGGGGTGTCAGACTGCCCCTAGTGGGGGATGTCTCCCAGTTAGGCTACTCAGGGGTCAGGGACCCACTTGAGCAGGGAGTCTGTCCCTTCTCAGATCTCAACCTCCGTGTTGGGAGATCCACTGCTCTCTTCAAAGCTGTCAGACAGAGTCGTTTGCGTCTGCAGAGCTGCTGCGTTTGTTATTATTTACTGTGCCCTGTCCCCAGAGGTGGAGTCTACAGAGACAGGCAGGTTTCCTTGAGCTGCTGTGAGCTCCACCCAGTTCGAGCTTCCCAGCAGCTTTGTTTACCTACTTAAGCCTCAGCAATGGTGGGCGCCCCTCCCCCAGCCTCGCTGCTGCCTTGCCGGTAGATCACAGACGGCTGTGCTAGCAATGAGGGAGGCTCCGTGGGTGTGGGACACTCCCGGCCAGGTGTGGGATATGATCTCCTGGTGTGCCTGTCTGCTTAAAGCGCAGTATTGGGGTGGGAGTTACCCGATTTTCCAGGTGTTGTGTGTCTCAGTTCCCCTGGCTAGGAAAAGGGATTCCCTTCCCGCTTGCGTTTTCCAGGTGAGGCAATGCCTCGCCCTGCTTCAGCTCTCGCTGGTCGGGCTGCAGCAGCTGACCAGCACTGATCGTCTGGCACTCCCCAGTGAGATGAACCCAGTACCTCAGTTGAAAATGCAGAAATCACTGGTCTTCTGTGTCGCTCGCGCTGGGAGTTGGAGACTTGAGCTGTTCCTATTCGGCCATCTTGCTCCGCCCCCCCATGTGCCACATTTTCTTAATCCAGTCTGTCACTGATGGACATTTGTGTTGATTCCAAGTCTTTGCTATTGTGAATAGTGCCGCAATAAACATACGTGTGCATGTGTCTTTATAGCAGCATGATTTATAATCCTTTGGGTATATACCCAGTAATGGGATGGCTGGGTCATATGGTACTTCTAGTTCTAGATCCTTGAGGAATCACCACACTGTTTTCCACAATGGTTGAACTAGTTTACAATCCCACCAACAGTGTAAAAGTGTTCCTATTTCTCCACATCCTCTCCAGCACCTGTTGTTTCCTGACTTTGTAGTGATTGCCATTCTAACTGGTGTGAGATGGTATCTCATTGTGGTTTTGATTTGCATTTCTCTGATGGCCAGTGATGATGAGCATTTTTTCATGTGTCTGTTGGCTGTATGCATGTCTTCTTTTGAGAAATGTCTATTCATATCCTTTGCCCACTTTTTGATGGGGTTGTTTGTTTTTTTCTTGTAAATTTGTTTGAGTTGTTTGTAGGTTCTGTATATTAGCCCTTTGTCAGATGAGTAGATTGCAAAAATGTTCTCCCATTCTGTAGGTTACCTGTTCACTCTGATGGTAGTTTCTTTTGCTGCGCAGAACATAACATTTTTATTGTTTTCCTGTACCATCTCAAGTTGTGCACCCCAATGAGAGATGAATGTTTGACATCCAAACACTTAATCACATGTACATGTTCATTATTTAAAGTAATCTAAAATAAATACATTTATGAAGTAAATAAATGTGAAACACTTGAAGGATTCATTTTTGTTTTGTTTTTAAGTTAAAAGTCTTATCATTTTTTTTTTTTTTTTACACAAGACTGGATCTTTATTTGTCGCTATATCTACATTACTTCTCTCAGTTTTTGTAAAGCATCTATTGCTGTGCAATTTGACAATAGCTTACAAATAGCTAAATCAATCAATTCTTTGAATTTTTAAAATGATGTTCTATCTATCATTGAATGTCTGTCATTGAATTATCAATGTCTATATGTCTATCATTGAATTATGAATGACTAATATGGCAATGATACTGAGTCTTTTAATAGCAACTACAACCACACATAAACCATTATCTTCTTTCTACCCAGGATTCCATGTGAAGCTACACAGGGTTCCCATCTACCCTGATAATGCAACAGACATCTTTCAATCCAACCAGGTGATTATACTCATCTTAAGAATCCATTTCTGGAGATCCCCAAATAATGCCAGCAATGACAAGATGTATAAATTGAAGCATTGTTATCTATCTATCTATCTATCTATCTATCTAATCCATCTTTTGACTTGGGGGAAAATTTTAAAACTGTGCACAGTCATCCTAGCTACTTAGGAGGCGGAGTAGGCAAAAAATCATTTGAGCCCAATCTTTCAAGGCTGTAGTGTATCATAATCACAATTATGAATAGCCAATGCTCTCCAGCCTGGGCAACATAGCCCCTGTTAAATAAATAAACAAATTACAAAAAAAAAAAACACTTTTTTGAACTAAAATAAGTAGGTAGCAACTAGTTTTCATTGTTTATCACTGTCACTAAAATATCCATTTCAATCACTGCACATTGGCTTATAGTTTTGATGGTGATTTCATAATCTCCTTAATGCATTGAAAAGTAGTGTATGCTTATGTTAAGTGAAATATTTTTTCTTTACCTGGCTTCATATTCTAAAAAATTGTAGAGGAGCAAATCTAAGCTTTCTCAGACAGCATTGCTGCCAAATAAAGGGGAACAATTAAATGACTGTTTTAATACATAAATTAGATGATCCTAGCTAGCTGAGTTTTTAATTATTTTGATAGCTTAGTTTTATTTTTCTAAAAAGAGTGATATGATCTGGGTCTAAGGTCTTCAGGGTCATGAAACTGCACTTCTGGGTACAAAAAGAGGAAGAATGTTAAATACTACTGTGAAGTGTTAACATGATGCACATGTGAAATTTTCTTATCTATTTTTTTTCCAGAATAATCAGCTCATGTATTATTTTACAAGATAACAAAAACATGCATAAATACAGATGCAGTGCGAGCAAAGATTTTTGAGAAAATATTTTCTCTTAGTTTTTAGGGGGCAAAGTGCTATTTATTTTTAGTATTTCCAGATATGTTGAAAGACAGCTCATTTTAAACTTCATTAGTAGTTCCAAGGAGTACAGGGTTTCTTTGTGGGCAAGTGATTTGCCAAATTATGTTAGACTTAATAATTCTGTGAAGATTCAGTGACATGTTTTCATAACTTCTGCAGAATGACCTGAAAAAGTTCTTAAGTAGTTGTTGTTTACAAAATTATTTGAGACACAGAAAGAAGGTGCCTACTAGAGTTGCTAAACTTTGATTATTTCTACTAGGAGAACATCTAATAATACTATGAGAGGAGGTGGTACAGATTATCTACAGTAACAGAAAAGGTGGGTTTTTGGAGGGAGCATTGCAAACAGGAAGACATTTAGATATTTTTGGCTGTAATTCTAGAAAGTTAAGTGTTAAAATATCTAAATCTAACATAAAATATGTTAAAATAGCATTGATACTGAATTTATCTTTTTTATTTGCAATGTTGTAATATTTTGGAATATTGTTAATTTGAAGTTCTATCTTATGCAGCTTTTTTTTAAACTATAAAGAAACCAATTATAATACATCATTTTTGTTTCATGTGATTGAAGTTGTGCTTCTCTATGCTGATGTCATTTGCCTTTTCTTGCACCTGTTACCAACGCATGAAGTTTAGCCTTAACACTATTATAGCTATCATAGTAACTATGTGTACTTTTTCCAAACTTTTACTTTGTTTTTTAAATTCTGAGATACTTTGTTCTATATATGAGAAGGAATTTTATAATTTTATTAGTTCTTTAAAAATTATACTATAAAATTCAAAAATCAAAATTAGCTTCAAAAATACATCAGTCATTGGATCCTTTTGCATATACAATGTTTGTCTAATAATTGTAATCTTAAAGATTTATTTCACATTAATGAAAGATAAGACTTAGCTGGTTTAAAGTTTTTGTTTGTTTGTTTGTTTGAAAGTTGTATAGTACTAGTGTGCCTAAGATAATGCATGGCACGTAGTAGTCACTTGGTACATGTTTTTTTAATTATTTGAGATAGGAAGACTCATTTCTACATTGATTGGTTTTGGACTTCAGGTGCATTACTGACTCAAAAAGTTTCTAATAATTTAAGTAACTTTTCAATTTCTCAAACTTTCATTCAGTTTAGCAACTTCTTTTCTAAATGTAGCTATATAGGTATGCCCAAGCTAAAACCATATTCCTAAGACTGTAACTTTTTACATGGTAGAACATTGTGTCACACGTTGGAACTTGTGTCACATGGTAGAACATTGTGTCATATCAGAATGTCGAGTTGCACCTTCTACAGAATGTTGAGTTGCACTTTTTCCCAAACAAAATAGTCCTGTTTGCATATCACCAAGGTAGTGCCTGTCTACTCTGAATTTTAACTCTAATCACACTAAAATAATGGTTATGGTAATCACTCATAAGACAAGTAGAATTTGATAAACTTCTTTATTACAATAGTTTTAGGCTCCATATAATTTCTCCTGTCTCCACTTTTTTATCTACTTAGCCAAATGCAAATTTCTCATTTTATCCTTAAGAGTTGTTTCAGATAATTTCTCAAATTCTTCTAATTCTTCTTTTATTAATTTTTCCCCCACAAGGTCTTTAAATATATTTGTGGCTCTATGCTTAATCCATCCGCGCTTTGGTCTATGAAGAGTTTCCTTTTTCCTTTCTCTGTGACACAGTGCACATATTTAATACTCACAAACTCGCAAGTGTAATTGCCTTCAGATGTTAAACTATTGATATTTTGATCTTGAATTGCAGTGGTTTAAATGTGCAAACTTATTTGATTGTGCCACATGGGAGTGCATAATTACTGCCATAAAATTTGAGTGCTCCTTAAAATAGAGAATGATAATATATTTTAATTTAAAAATGTGGTTACTTGAAAATATATTAATTATGGAAAAGTATATGTGTGATGTGTATGTATTTAACAAATTGGTCTCAAAGAGACAGTACATCAATATTTTTTTAACTTATAATATCAAGTATAATGTAACAGTAGCCTGTCACTAAGTTATTTTTGAAATAGTGAACATTGTATTTGTTGGGTTTTACTATTGTGATTGATTTCACTGTTTTTTTATTTACAATCTTTTTTCCAGCACTTCCTCTTGTTAACATGGGAGTTGTGTTGAAGAATATAAAGTTACAAAATCAAGGAAGTAGAAAATATTTTTACAAGTATTATGTAGCCATCTTCGTGGGGCTGTGGTGGGGTTGGCTGCAAATGATGCTCCTATGTTTTCTCTCAGTTCAGAACATAGGAATCAGGTGGATAGACATCAACATACCAGCTTTATTGCTGACTCATGACAACTAATGGGAAGACATGACGCAGATGTGCAGCCACAGCGAGCTTCTGAACATGTCTTCTCAGATTAGGCTCTAACACACAGTTGCAAGTGGAAGAAAGAGATGCTTGACACCATCACAAGAGCAGGTAGCTTCCTGCAGAGATGACAGCCAACCCACACTCACTTCACTGTGGGCAGACACATGTTTGCAGAGAGACTCAAAGCCAAACAGGCACACTCAATGCACTTTGCCCAAATTTACCCATTAGGCAAATCTTCCCTCCTCCCCAGAGAAAAGTAGAGAAAGCATGAGTCCTCACATGGAAACTTGAAGCAAGGGAAATGAAGTCTCACCAAGTATGTGTGCATGGGTTTAAGTTATCCTTGAAATTAAGTTTAGATCTGTCTTTGTGTGTACGAATTAATGACAAGAAGTTAGATAGAAGTATGCTAGATGGCAAAGAGAAATCTGTTTTGTGTTTCCAATTTTGCTATAAATAACCCAGAACATGGACAATTCATTTATTAATTGACTTTTGAAAGCCAAGTCCTATTTGGAGAAAATTAATAGTTTTTCTAAGAAAGAATTTTCGCAATGTCACCTGGCTTGGTAAAGTTTTTCTCCTTTGAGTTCCTGTTTTTTGGAGTGTAGCAAACTTATTCTTTACAAATTGATTATGTTGACTGCCACTCACAGATGTTATGATATTAATTTCTATTTCTTACTTTGTATTCATGATTTAAGAATTCACAATTTAGCTGGAGAGCTACTTTTTAATGTGTTGCACCTAAACGTGATTGAGCTATGAGACAGTTTTACATGTATGCATGCATTTTCTCTGAGTTATATTTTAAAATCTACACATTTCTCCTAAATATGGAGAAAATCACTGGCATCAAATGCCAGTCTCAGACAGAAGCACTAAAGCCCATTTCTGGCCTGGAGCTAATTGGCTTTGTGACCTACGGTGAGCCATACATGCTCTGAGTTTGTGCTACCTCTTTTGTAAAATGAGGGAGTTTGACTTATCAGTGATTTTCATAGCTTAAAATTTTTTTGAAGAACAGAACTTGTTTTAAGAAAGTTAGATGCAACACTATTATATAAAACAGAACAGATACAAGTAGAGCTAATTTGCTAAAGAAAGGAAGGAGTCTCTGAAGTTGGGACTTCCTTATCCCTTAATACTGCTATGTCCTCTGTAGTACCTCAGATTTCTATGAGACAAAGTTAGAAAACTATTGTTTATGAGTGAGCCTTGCTAATACCCTAAAAATTGTGGATACATTTTTCTCCCATGTATAATTTTCTCACCTTCTATTTGAAAAGAAAAAAAGTGTTGTGTCGGTCTGCACCTAGTAGGGAATGTCTCCCAGTTAGACTACTCAAGGGTCAGGGACCCACTTGAGCAGGCAGTCTGCCCATTCTCAGATCTCAACCTCCATGGTGGGAGATCCACTGCTCTCTTCAAAGCTGTCAGACAGGGGAATTTACCTCTGCCGAGGTTTCTGCTGCTTTTTGTTTAGCTATACCCTTTCCCCAGAGGAGGAGTCTACAGAGGCAGGCAGGCCGGCCTCCTTGAGCTGTGGTGGGCTCCACCCAATTCCAGCTTCCCGGCAGCCTTGTTTACCTACTTAAGCCTCAGCAATGGTGGGCGCCCCTCCCCCAGCCTCCCTGCCAGCTTGCAGTTAGAACTCAGACTGCTGTGCTAGCAATGAGGGAGGCTCCATGGCAGTGGGACCCTCTGGGCCAGGTGTGGGATATAATCTCCTGTTGTGCTGTTTGCTAAGACCCTTGGTAAAGGGCAGTATTGGGGTGGGAGTTACCTGATTTTCCAGGTTTTGTGTGTCTCAATTTCCTTTGGCTAGGAAAAGAAATTCCCTTTCCACTTGCACTTTCCAGATGAAGCAATGCCTCGCTCTGCTTCAGCTCTCACTGGTCGGGCTGCACCCATGGACCAGCGTCAACTGTCCGACACACCCCAGTGAGATGAACCCAGTACTTCAGTTGAAAATGCAGAAATCACCTATCTTATGTGTCGCCCATGCTGGGAGCTGGAGGATGGAGCTGTTCCTATTTGGCCGTCTTGGGTGTGCCCTGAGACAAAGTTTCCAGAGCAAATCAGACAGCAACACTTGCCATTCAGCAATATTCTATCTTCTGCTGCCTCCACTGCTGATACCCAGGCAAACAGGGTCTGGAGTGGACCTCAAGCAAACTCCAACAGACCTACAGCTGAGGGTCCTGACTGTTAGAAGGAAAACTAACAAACAGAAAGGACACCCACACCAAAACCCCATCAGTACATCACCAACATCAAAGACCAAAGGCTGATAAACCATGAAGATGGGGAAAAAGCAGTGCAGAAAAGCTGGAAATTCAAAAAATCAGAGTGCATCTCCCCCTCCGAAGGAACACAGCTCATCGCCAGCAATGGAACAAAGCTGGATGGAGAATGACTTTGACGAGTTGAGAGAAGAAGGCTTCAGTCGATCAAACTTCTCAGAGCTAAAGGAGGAACTACATAACCAGTGCAAAGAAACTAAAAACCTTGAAAAAAGAATGGATAAATGGATAGCTAGAATAATCAAGGCAGAGAAGCCCTTAAAAGAACTGATAGAGATGAAAACCATAACACGAAAAGTACGTGACAAATGCACAATCTTCAGTAACCGACTCGATCAACTGGAAGAAAGAGTATCAGTGATTGAAGATCAAATGAATGAAATGAAATGAGAAGAGATGTGTAGATAGAAAAGAGTAAAAAGAAATGAACAAAGCCTCCAAGTAATATGAGATTATGTGAAAAGATCAAATCTACAACTGATTGGTGTGCCTGAAAGTGACGGGGAAAATGGAATCAAGTTGGAAAACACTCTTCAGGATATCATCCAGGAGAACTTCCCCAACCTAGTAAGGCAGGCCAACATTCAAATCGAGGAAATACAGAGATTCCACAAAGATACTCCTCGAGAAGAGCAACTCCAAGACACATAATTGTCAGATTCACC